ACAGCAGTGGGCAATGAGCTTAAAGCCCCTGATGGCTCTTGGGTGCTGACTGTCACCAGTGGCTATGGATGAAGTCACAGGCGATTTTCAGCCAGCACCAAACAAATAGATATTCTTCTGGTATTCTCTTCTCTCCATCAAGATTCATCTGGCATTAGCAGTAGCCCTATTGTCACGGCCTCTTCTGAACCTACATTACGTTTTTGTTTGTTTGTTTTTTCACATTGCATTTTTGGTAGTTCTTTCTCAATGAACTGTTCTGCCACTTTTAAATATTCTTCAGCAAGATTTTGCATGTGATAGTAATGATTACTTTTAGGGGCCACCAAGTCAGCCACCCTCATAGTGACCCTATGAACAGCAGATCTGGATCCTGCCCTCTCCTATTCTGTCCTCACCAACCCCATTGCTCTAGCCACTATTTCAGCCCATCTTACTGAAGTTCTTCCTCTCTTCCATTGACACTCCACCCTTCCAAGCAGGATAGCCTTTTTCATTTTCCACATTAGTGGAGGAAAAACTGAGGAAGAGGATGAGAATGGCAGTGCAATATAACTCAAGCCACTGAAATGTCATACAGAAATGGCTGTGCTGTGTTTTGCTGTGCAGCCATAGTAACTAAGTTCCAAGTACACAGTGTGTGATTCCTCATTTCATAAATGTTGAACATCTTTATTATTTGTTAAGGAACGTCTCTTGTTAAATATTGATAAAATAAGTCGTGTTGTGAGATGCCTTTTTAAAGAAAGGATGTTGAACATGTTGGTTCTGGTTGTGTCTGTTCTATCCCAGGTGTTGAGGTATAGAATTGCTTCAAAGGATTTTCTCAGCTGTAATCTTAATAATAGCGTTGTGCAGTACTCAGATTTCAGTCTGAAACATACCATTGTCTTTTACCAAGGACTTTCCAGTGCTGAAACTTGATGGCATAGTAACAGCATTGTGTTTTGGTGCCACTGGATGAGTTCACACTGCCAGTCTTTAGGTTAGCAGTTGAGTGCAAACTGTTTCTGCCACGTAGGGAACTTAGGACATACATTTCATGAAGAAATAATGCTAAGCTCAAAGGAAACTAGCCTCCTCATGTATAGCAGAATTGACACAAAGTTTTATATAAAGAGCTAAACAAAATTAAAAAAACCAACCCACTGCCTCTGAGTCTTTTGTGACTCATGGCAATCCTTCATTGGATTTCAGACGCTATAAATCTTGGTGAGAGGAAGTCTGCCTAATCTTATAGAGCAGCTGGTGAATTGGAACTGTCTGGTTTACATTTAGTAGCCCAACATGTAACCCACTACACCACTGGAATTCCTAAGTGTCAAGAGCTAGACATTAAATATTTTACTCTTTGGGCAATAAGGTTTCTGTATCTTCTACCCAACTATGCTGTTATAATGCACAAGTACACAAAGACAACACAGGAATGAATGGGTGTTAACATGTTCCTATAAAATCTTATTTATGGACATGAAAATTTACATTTGACTTGGTTTTTGCAGGTCATAAAGAATAAAAGACAAAAACATTTTTAATTTGTCATACCAAAACAAGTAGTAGCCTTGCATTTGCTGTATCGTTTGCTGACCCCTCTCTTAGAAAATTTAACAGTTCACATTTTCACCTACAGCAACCCAGGAAATGATGGAGTTGTAAGGATATGGGTTTGTGGCCTACAAAATTGCACAACACTGATAGTATTTAGAATGTATCTTTTAAAAATCTGCTTTGTCATATCTAGTCCTACAACAGATAAATACTGGTATAATTTTCATTTTAGATACCATGAAGATTTACCACTCTTCTTGCGGTGTTTTACTGTTGGGTGGATTTATACAAGGATTTCATCTCAGTTTGTTGAAATATTTCAGAGACTTCACATGTATGAGGTTAGTGTCATCTTCCAGTGGCTGTCTCTTCCTGAATTGTTATTGATAAGCCCATAAAGGAAGCCCCACATAGATTTGTGGTTCGGTAATATATTTAGCAGAGGTGACTCATTGTCTTTTGTTGGTAGGAAGACAGCGGCCATATATTTCATCTTTTTTTTTTAAAATTTTTTATCAGTTTGCATATATCATTCATATATGTCACTGTGTTTTATACATACTTTGTGGAGGTTTTTTAATGAAAAATTTTTTCTATTCTGATTTATTTACAAAATTTGAATACATTATTTTTTACAAACGATCCTTCTCCTTTCCTTTACCCCACCCACCTGTTGAATTGTGCAACCCTATGATTAACACCCTATGCCCCAATCCACATCCCTCTATTTCCACCCGCCCTCTGCCTTGGATCCTCATACTCATTCTCAATAATGGTTTTATACAGTAATTATACAGTAATGGTTTTATTTGTCCTTGTGGAACTGAGTTAGTTTACTCATCATAATGCTTTCCAGTCCCTCTCAAGTTAGGTAGTAATTTACAAAATGATTGCTTCTGTGTGCTGTGGAGAATTCCACTGTATAAATGTACCGCATCTTCTCAATTCATTTGTTTGTGATCGGACATCTGGGCTGTTTCCACGTTCTTGCAGTGATGAATAATGCTGCTATGAACATTGGTATACAAGTTTCCATTTGAGCCTCAGTTCTCTTTTTCTTGGGGTATATTCTAACCAGTGGAATAGCTGGGTCATATGGAATTTCTCAGTTCAGCTTTTTGAGGAAATGCCAGACTGCCTTCCAGAATACATTGTGTTTTATATAATCGTCTATGATGCCACCAGATGAGCTCTCTCTGATTCCTAATCAGATCCCTCTCTGGGGTGTTTGGTTTAGATGACCTCTCCATTATGGCCCTGCTTGACCCAGAGTCCCTCACACAGTTGACCATCTGAGCTCTGGGTCCCCAGAAGCCAGTGTGCCAGCTGTCACTCTCTTGCTTGGCTGCTGAAGCCAGTTCTGAGTCTCTGTGGCGATTGGCTGAGCTGCCTGAAGACTATGCTGTATGGTCCTGAGTAGGCAGTGATATGTATCAGGAAGTTCCTCCATTCAGAAGGCCTCTTCTAATTCTAAGGAACTGATCTTGTCAATGTTGCATTTAGCCTTACTTTAAAATGGAGAAATACTCTGTATATGTTTTGTGTTGCCAGTTTTATTGGATTCTGAATGTAATTCCAGTTAATTTTTCTGTGAGTTTAATGAACTTTCTTTGTTATTTGTAACAACAGGAAGCAGTCAAAGAACTTGAAAACCTTTTGTCTCAGAAGATATATTGTCCTGATAGCAGAGGCCGATGGTGGGATAGACTGGCACTTAACTTACACCAGCATCTCAAACGTCTGGAGCCAGTAAGATATGATGAAGTTTTAAGATATTTGACTTTTAAATACCTGAAACATCCTCTGTATTTTTAAGAAAATGGCTCACAGTTACGGAGAATAGAAAAATAGTCCCAAATCTGTGATTTGAGGGCAGCCTAGAGGTTTTTCGATTCACGTGGCTTCATTGACTGGCACCCTCAGAATCTACATGTGAAGCTGGGTTCTTAGTGCTTGTAAATCCACAGTCTACAGGTCAGGTGTCTCATGAATAGTAAGAACCAGCAGCAGAGGATGACAAGATGAGTGTGAGATTAAGAGAACATGCAAGACAGCTTTGTTAGAGTATTTGGTTATATTATGAATTTAGGCCATGCCTCCAAGGAAACTTTTCTTCCTACTAGTTGACTGCTCAGGTCAGTTCACAGAATAATAGGTGATGCATAGTGTCTGCCAAACCACTGAGAGTACAGTCTAGCCAAGTTGATGGATAACGTTTGCTGATGTTGTTACCTGCTATTGAGTCAGAATCCACTCAAAGCTGATTTTCCAGCAGGTTTTCCGAACCTATAAATTGCATTGGAGGAGATTGCCCATCTTTCTCCCATGGAGTTGCTGGTAGATTTGAATCACCAGAGACCTGACTTAGGATTAGCAGTGCAACTCCCTAAGGACTACACCCCCAGAAGTCCTTTTACATAACATCAGTGATTGCAAACAGGACTACTAAAACCAGAGCAAAGACGGGATGTTTGTTCTCTTCATTGATATTGTGGTCTGTGTATTGAGATGAAGAGTCAGGATCAAGGAGTTAGGGGACAAGGAAAGCCTAGTGTCCTCACCCTCAGCATGTGATTTCCAGAATATTTTTCTGTTGTAGAAAGGGTAATTTTTTTTTTCTATAATTATATTTTATTAATTTTCATAAACATTTACAGAGATTTTGGGCTTCCACTCATTCATT